CAAACCAATGTAGTGCTTCTTAATTATTCCAACTAAAAGAATAACTCGGTACATTAAAGCTTTAGTTATGTGTAAGGTTCAAAGAAGGCCGAATCACAAGGACTTATATGCAACTTTATCTTATGTTTTATAAAAAGATATTTTCACAACTTGAAATTCGTGACTTTAAAAAAAAAAACTGAACAAAGAAAGAGTGAGACCAAAGATTAGATTCTATAAAATGCATGGAAGATATTTAATATATCACAGTACCAAAACACTAGTCCACTTGAACATGTAAAGGGCATATATATCATTGGTGAACTTTGTGGCTGCAGTTGCTTTATAAAGTAAAAATCTGAAAGAAATGGCCATTTATGTGTGTTTAATTAATAGGAAGGAAAATATTTTTCACGAAAAAAATAACTTTTTTTGAATATTAATTTTTTAAATTTTCTGATATTTAGTAAGAAAATAGAAGATATTATCTCTAAAATATTTTATATAATCCTGATAAACACATATAACGGGGTGGGGTGAAGGGTAAGAGCTAGTGTGGGGTATATCATACTAAAATCAGGAATTTACGACGAATAAATTTTGTAGATGATAAATTGCAAAATTAAAATTCGCCATTAATTCTATTTAGTGACGAATTATTTTAAATTTTTATTAGCTATGAGCATTTATCGATAAAGTTTGCTGTTAATTTATTTTTTTTGTTGTTGTTGTGGGTAGAGTGGATGGGGCTACGAGAGTAAGGGAGGAAACAATGAATTTTGAATGTCACTTATGAAATTTGTTTTTTCTACTTTCATTAAGAAAGTCATTTTTCTCAGTTTTCCTCTGTACCAAACACACCCTTATCAATAGAATATATTTATTTATTTTGCAAATAATCTTGTTAAGTATATCAAATTGTTCTTTCTGTAATAACTTAAGTTTATATAGACCAGACAATCACATATTTACATATAATATTATTTAGATCAGAGAGAACAGGTTGAGGTGATTTTGAGCAGATCAGAATCGATTAATTTAATCAATAAAAAGATATTGACCCGCTCAAATATTTCTTGATGAATTGAAATGGTTGTACTAAAATGGGTCGAAATGTAGATCATAAACTAAAATTTCGCTCAATTTTTACTAAATTTTAATTATTTTATTTGAATTTTTTAGTATCTTATAAAAAAAATTCATTATGACTATATATTAGTTAAGAATATAACAAGGGGTTTGTCAAGGCACTAAAAAGATACTTTGATCTAAACGAATACTTTTAAGGATCATAAAGAGACATGGTGGTGTCACTAATAGTATTACTATAATTAAGAAGAAGAATATTGATTAATTAAACAATTCTGGACTCTTCTTACTTTTATTATTTTATATATTTAATTGAGTCAACTTAGAATCAATTCTTCCTAGATCAGAGGAATTGCTCGAATGATAAGCATTTGTCACTTTCAAATCTAAGATTATAGATTCGAGTCTCCAAAACAATAAAATGATGAAAATTTCTAAAGAATGATTGTAAAAAAAAAAAAACAGTTTGCCATCCTATTATTTATATACCAATCTTTTTTTTTGGTTTATTAAATATCAAACAAATGCTTTGTGACCTAAAATATTCTAAATATTAATCCAATTATACATTGAATATGAAATTAAGTAGTATTTATAACAAATTTTAAATTGCATTCGTGAGCCAAAATAAAGCATGAGTTGACTTAAGTAGACAATTAGTACAATCTTTTTAATAGAGGAAACTTTAGACATAATATTTACTAAACTTTTGATTTGTGTGTGGAAATAAATTTTTTTAAAAGTCCACCGTCCATAACTTTAGTTCAATATATTAATTAATGCATGATTATACGAGGTATATATATAATATTACCAAAAGATTCTATTCTTTTCTTCATAGTAAGAAAATATTATTAAGATAAGTTGATCACCAGAGCATCACTAACAAAAGTTGATATTAAGTCCCCTACATTTTTAAAATGTATAAAATTGGAAGTAATCGTAAGCGAGGTAGGAAAAGAAAAAGAAAAAAGTTTTATGTGTCTGTGTTTTACATTCGTGAAGCACTTTACTCGCTAAAGAAGACATATTCAATTACTAACATTTCGATGTTGAATGAAAGAGGCTTTAAACCTTTATCAACGTCAATACACTAATAGCGGGAACAGAATGGAAAGTGAGGCTCCAAACCCTTCTTCGTGGACTTTAGAAATCGAAACCGAACCAAACTCGCACACAAGCCTGCTACCAAGCAGGAGCAAAAAAAGGAATATGTTGAATTGGGACAGAAAACCATCATAAGTCAGTCAACAAACAAATGAGCTTAATTAATCGAAATATTTTTAATATAATTTTATAAATTTGTAACTTATTTATAAAGAGTGAAGCACGTCACTCGCTCAAGAAGACGTACACATTTAATTACTAGCTTTTTGATGTTGAAGGAAAGAGGCGTTAACCTTCATCAATGCCAACACAATGACATGGGGAGCAACATGGAAAACGAGACGCCACACCCTTCTCCATGGACCTTAGAAATCGAAACTGCACCAAACTCACACACAAGCTTGCTATCAAGCAAGAGCAAAAAAAGAATATATTGAATTGGGGCAGGAAACCATCATAAGCCAGTCAACAAGCAAAATAAATTTAACCCGAAATACTTTAATATAATTTTATAAATTTGTAACTTATCCATAAAGATTCATGAGGGAACAAATTTCTCATGATTTAGAATATGCTCCATTCCACCTTAGATAAAAAGTATTGTTTTGCTTGATCCTTAAGCCATTTTCATCGTCTAGCCATCACTTCCTTCTCACTTTACCTAATTTGTACTAATGTTTTATTTAATTATATAGTTTGCATTCCTTTAAATGTTCTTTTGGGTGGAAAAATTAAAGAATATTCAAGAATGGGGAAAATAATAAGTAAATAGTTATATAATATCTCACACTTGTTTTTTTGAAATAGAATTTATGTCGAGTGGTGCATAAGTTCTTCAAGGGTGTTTGACATAATTTATTGGGCGTTGGTGCTATCCAATTTTTTTCTAACATAATCGGTTAATATGATTATTGTTAACAAAATTGATTAATCACTCTGTTGAGTTTATGGAGATTTCGAGAGGATAGAAATTATGAATAGTTTATAAGTATTTTTACTTTGAATCTTGATCTTTCGATAGATCAGTCTAATTTCATTGACTGCTAGGCGACATTCTTGATATGCAATTACAAGTAAGTATTCATAACATGGTTGGTAAATTGAAGAAAAGATGGTAAGTAATTAACCTATTGGAACAATCAAATTTAATTTATAAAATAAATTTACACATTCTATAAATAAAACTTGAATATATAATTATCAAGGAAAAAAACACTAGAGAGTAAACGGTAAATAACATAGTTGAACTATCACTATTTCGTGAGTTTCACACCCTAACTAATAGATGTTTCCTTTTCCATTTGAATTATCATCATCTATGTATTAAAACACACTTTGAAACTGATTAGATCAATTATCAGTTGTTCCATTTTCCTACCTACATAGATGATGACAATTCAAGTAAAAAAAAAAAAAGAAACATCTAATAGTTAAAGTCTGAAGCTCGCATAAATAATAATTCAGATGAATTTTCGATCATTATCAAAAACTAAATAAAAGGGGTTTTTTTTTTTTTTATGAGGGTCCCTTGCACAAGATTCCATTAGGCATTTTGGAGTCCTATAAATACCCTGACAATCCCCTGCCATTTTTATTTGCATTCACAGCATCAACCAAAAACATCCCATACTCCAATATTCCAATAATTCTATCCTCAACACATCGATATTCCTCTCATATCGCTTAATTACTAGACTGTGTAATTATTAGACTACGTACAACGAAGATGTCAATAGTTAGAATGGAAGAAATGGCAACACTACAATTGAGTAAATCACCAACACCACCATTGCCTAAGACAAAGGGCATAGTGTCAATTCTTGGATCAGATACTCAAAGATGCAAATCAAATGCAACCTCTATTAGAAGAACATTTTCAGCTGATATGTCATCCAAACAATGGCTTACACAAAATGGTTTCTTCTCTCCAATCAAAAAGATTGCTTCATCTAAAGATCTTGCTCTTTCAACCTCCTATGAGGAGGAAGAAGAAGAAGAGGAGCTCGAAAGGCGAAAAACATCATTTAATGTTTGGAGTTCAATTTTGTCACAAAAGAAAAATGATGATCTTCAAATTCCATATATTCACCCTCTTGTTAAAATATCAACAAGTTCTTTGAGTGAAAAAAGTCTTGAAATTTGTACTGAAAATATTGGATCAGAGAATGGTTCTGATGGTTTTTCCTCCTACACTCCTTCTGAGAATGGAGATGTAGACGAGGAAAAACACGATCATCACCACCAATACTGCTCGCGATTCATTGAGGAATTGCGAGTAGTAAAGTATAATAATAGCAAGAGATCATCATCATATTTTCCTCCTCCAATTACTTCCTTGGCTAGAGGTGACAACAAGCCTTCTATTCAAATGCAATCTCGACGCCAAGATGGTAGATTGATTCTTGAAGCTGTTTTTATTCCTCCTCGAAATCATTTCCATGCCCATCGCCTTGATGGTCGTCTTCTTCTAACCTTAGTTGATAATAGTACTTCCACTTCATCATTAGAACAAGAGATGGAGGATTATGGTGAAGAATTTGATGAATTTTTCGATGATACTGATGATCATACACCTCAAAACGATTATATAAGTGATGATTGTCTTGAAGAAGAAGAAGAAAATGGGATCATTGTGATGGAACAGAATCCAAGATTGTCAAGTGGGGTAATAAATATGATGAGGTTGTTAGATTCTCCTATCGAAATAAGGGAAAAGTCAATTCAATTCCCAATGGAAACAAAATTTCCCAAATTCTCCCTCGAACTGAAAGATCATTTGGGGCTAGGAAACAAGACTTGTGTAACATGGTCTAACAAGTTCAATAAAATTGTCAACTTGACAGGTTCTATGGATTCAACTGAACTAACTGATCAGGAGGTAAGTCGGATAATCTCAGTTCCTCAGTCGACCACGGCCTCTTTCAATGCCTATGAGTACTTTTGGAGGAAGAAGCCTACAATAGCAAGCATTGTCAACACTCCCACAATTGCACAAGAATGCAACAACTATACCACTAAGCAAGTTGTTGTTGCATCAAATAGTACTACTCCCAACGCCAAGGGTACAACAAAAGTAGCAGCATATATAAATTATTTGGTACCTTTGCAAAGTGGATGCAAAGAGCCAAAAAGGTCTTTACTAATTTGGGAGCCTTACTGTATTGCTACCTCTTGATGATCACCAAATTTTTTATCAAGTCCTAATTCAACTAATTAACAATAAAATAATAAATATATAAAACTATATAATATGTATTATTATTAAGATTTTTTTTTTTCCTTTCTGAGTCATGACTAGTTTTTTACTCTTTTGTCAAAAAAGAGTTTTGTGTAGCCATATAACAAAGAGAGAGATCCTTGCTTTATATACAATCATCCAATTTTGTATACGCTCTTACTTCGTTTATTTAAAATTTAGCTATCTGCTATTTGAAATCAACTGACTTGACTAATCGTGTTGCATAAGACTCGGTAAAGGAATAACGCTACCTAGTTAACCTATCTTTGTGAGATAATGATGATGTTAGTACTTAGTTATTAGCCAAAAGATATGGTGACCTATCAATTTGGTGGTGGATCTAGCCTATAATGTACGGGTTCACGAGAATTTAGTAGTTTTTGTCTAGCCTAAACCGTTTATGGATCAGTAATTTTTAAGTAGGTTATTAATTTGTGTATTTATTAACAAGTTTTTACACAGATCGTCTCTACTTCAAATGGTTTTAATTTTTGTCCCTTAATACTCGCCTTTTCTTCTTTTTTTTGGATCAAATTATCCTTATCTATGACCTAATTCACTTGATATAAGTTTAGAGAGCTTTTGTCTTGTCCTATATAAGTTTGGATAGAATTAAGTTATGTGGCATAAGTTGTGTAGTATTTCTATATATGACTAATTTGCTCAATATAAATTTAGAAAACTTTTGCCTCACTCGACATAAGTTCTATAGCAATACGATATAACTTGTGAAATATTATGCCGTGAAAGTATAAATTTATGCTCCGGGAAAAATAATATATGGAATTGGATATTGAGTAGGCACAATTTGATAGTAGAGAATCAATCCTATCATGCTATTGTAGAATATGGCAGAAATGGACATCGTACGGAAGGGGTGACGTGTTAGCGGTGGAACTAGCAACGATCGAGGAGTTTATTCGAATCATTTTCGATAAAAAATTATACTATTTATATATGATTAAAATTATATTTTACATATATATAATAGATGTTGAGCTCTGATCACTTTTTATGTTTATTTTTTTATATTTCAAACTCCTTTAATAAAATTCTTGACTTAGTACCGCTAGATGTCGAATTAAAAGTTTCAATATCATGATTTCGAAATTATTATATTTCTTTTAACATAAAGTCTAGAAAAGTAGTATATAGTTTAAGGAACCCACAAAATGGTTAAATAAATGATATTTACTAGTTTTGATTTTCAAAGAACATATTTTTCTCTTCCTATACTTGCCAAAAAGAAGAAGAAAAAAATATTCCCTATATTTCAATTTATGTGGCATTTTTTATTTTTTGAGAGTCAAACAACATAAGTTTGACCGGAAATTTGAGCATGAAATTTTCAATTTTCTTAAAAAGAAATTTATATATTTATAAACTACATAAAAAGTACTATAAATCATAATATTTGACAATTCAAACTATTAAAAAGATATATGAGAATTTTACGGTCAAAGATAGACTTGTTTGAATCTCGAAATCCGAAAAGTGTCATATAAATTGAGACGGATGAAATATATAACAACCCTTTTTCTTTCTTTTTTTCTGTTTTACAGAGTTTAGTATGTTTAGCCACTTCAAGAAAAATGTCAATTTGATCTTTTTGATCATGATGAATCATCATGAGGTGACAATGCAATAAGGCTCCCAAATTAGTAAAGACATCTTTGGCTCTTTGCATCCTCTTTGCAAAGGTACCAAATAATTCATATATGCTGCTACTTTTGTTGTACTCTTGGCATTGGGAGTAATACTATTGGATGTAACAACAACTTGCATAGTGGTATAGTTGTTGCATTCTTTTGCAATTGTAGGATTCTTCCTCCAAAAATACTCATAGGCATTGAAAGAGGTCACGGTCGCCGGTGTTAGTTGAGTTGGGAGTGATTGAGGAACTGAGGTTATCTGACTTATCTCCTTAATCAGGTCAGTTGAATCAACAGTATCTGTCAAGTTGACAACTTTATTGAACTTGTGGGACCATGTTACAAGATTCTTGTTTCCTAGCCCCAAATGATCTTTCAGTTCAGAGGAGAATTTGGTAAATTTTGTTTCCATTGGGAATTGAATTGACTTTTCCCTTATTTCGACCTGAGAATCTAACAAATTCATCATCAGGGCTGATGTCTTCATATTTATCACCCCACTTGACAATTTTGGCTTTTGCTCCTTAATCAATTGAGGTGTATGATCATCAATATCGTCGAAAATATGATCAAATTCTTCACCATAATCCTCCATCTCTTGTTCTAATGATGAAGTAGAAGTACTATTATCAACTAAGGTGAGAAGAAGACGACCATCAAGGCGATGGGCATGGAAATGATTTTGAGGAGGAATAGAAACAGCTTCAAGAATCAATCTACCATCTTGACGTCGAGATTGCATTTGAATAGAAGGCTTGTTGTCACCTCTAGCCAAGGAAGTAATTGGTGGAGGATAAGATGATGATGATCTCTTACTATTATTATACTTTACTACTCTCAATTCCTCAATGAATCGCGAGCAGTATTGGTGGTGGTGGTGGTGATGGTGGTAATGATCGTGTTTTTCCTCATCTACATCTCCATTCTCAGAAGGAGTGTAGGAGGAAAAACCATCAGAACCATTCTCTGATCCAAGATTTTCAGTACAAATTTCAAGACTTTTTTCACTCAAAGAACTCGTTGATCTTTTAACATGAGGGTGAATATATGGAATTTGAAGATCATCATTTTTCTTTTGTGACAAAATTGAACTCCAAACATCAAATGATGTTTTTCGTCTTTTGAACTCCTCCTCTTCTTCTTCTTCTTCCTCAGAGGAGGTTGAAAGAGCAAGATCTTTAGATGAAGCAATCTTTTTGATTGAAGAGAAGAAACCATTTTGTGTAAGCCATTGTTTGGATGACATATCAGCTGAAAATGTTCTTCTAATAGAGGTTGCATTTGATTTGCCTCTTTGAGTATCTGATCCAAGAATTGACACTATGCCCTTTGTCTTAGGCAATAGTGGTGTTGGTGATTTACTCAATTGTGGTGTTGCCATTTCTTCCATTCTAGCTATTGACATCTTCGTCGTAGTCTGGTAATTACACAATCTAGTAATTACGCTATATGAGAAGAATATAGATGTGTTTGAGGATAGAATTATTGGTATATTGGAGTATGGGATGTTTTCGGTTGATGTTGTGAATGCAAATAAAGAAGGCAGGGGATTGACAGTGTATTTGTAGGACTCCAAAATGACTAGTAGAATCTTGTGCAAGGGCCCACCATGAAAGAAATTAACTTTTATTTAGTTTTGTGATAATGGTCAAAAACTTATATGAAGTTTCATTTGTTCGTGAGTTTCATAGTTTAACTATTAGTTATTCCTTTTTCTAACGTGAATTATCATTATATGTGTATTAAAAACAACTAGTTGAGTAAATGATAATAATTTAGGTAGAACAAGAAAATAATTAATTGTTGATCTAACCAATTTCGTGGTGTATTTTAATATATTCATCTTTCTACCAACAAAATAATGAAATTACCAAACAAAATTGTAATATAAGATTATTAATATTCTAGTTTGAGATATTCTAAAGTCTAAACTATACCCTTAATTACTATTTCCATCCATGAATATTTGATTCTTAATTCCACCCAAAAAAAACATTTCATCGAATGCAAAATATATATTCCTTATGTTTTAATTTATTTGTCATACTTTATCTTTTAGTCATTTTTAGAAGTAATATTTTTAAGCAACTCTTTAATTCCAACTTTTCACCTATAGCATATTTAAGATCACAACATTAATAGACATTTTAGTGTATTTCACATATCTTTAGTTTAAGACTACAGATTTAAAAGTTTCCTTTATTTTTCTAAACTTCACGTCAAATCAAAAACCAGACAAATAAATTAAAACGAAACAAGATATTAGTATAAATTTGGGAAAAGGGTTTGAAAAATACTCCAACTATGACCGAAATTGTTGTTACAATACCAAACTTTATGGAGAACATTTTACCCCTGCAATATTTAATAATGTATTTTAAAGGTATATATGTTCCCATGTGGAGACATTACTCCCTCCATTTCATATTAATTTAATTTTTGAGGCATTTTCCATTTTTCAAATTAACTTAATTGTTCAGTTTTCAAGACTACGTTTAGAGTGTTCTTCCAATTTTACCCTTCATTAGTTAATATTGGAATTAGTGATTAATTAATATTTAGTTATTTTAATCAGAAATTTGACAATAATTAATAAGGATAAAAATGGAAAACTATGTTCAATTTATGTCTTAACCTACTTTTCTTAAAGGGTGTGAAACACCTCAAAAATTAAATTAATATGGAATGGAGGGAGTACTATTTATAATGATGCAATATTTATGATGTCCACGTGGGCATATATATACATTTAAAATACACTATTAAATAGTGCGGGGGGATAAAAGGTCATTTCCAAAGTTTGATATTGTTATAGCAATTTCAATCAAAGTTCGAATATATTTCAGACTTTTTTCCCTATAAATTTAGGTAATGTGAGAAGGAAGTGATGTGTGGACGACCAAGATGGCTTAAGGAACAAGCAAAGCTTACCTTCAAAAGAATCATCACTATTTATTTAATACTATCCATCAGTGTTTTAAAAGGTGAAGTGCGAAAAAAATAATACTTTATCTAACATGGAATGAAGCATATTCCAAATAATGAGAAATTGGTTCCCTCGTGAGTCTTTATTAATAAGTTACAATTACAAATTTATAAAATAGTATTAAAATACATCAAAAACATGTATAAAAACTTTAAAGACTTTTAAGAAGTTGTTTAGAAAATACACCTAAAACAAGTTATAATTTTTTTAAAAAAGTTATTTCAAGACTTTTAAGAAGTTGTTTGCAAGTTGTCTACTTAAATTAATTGCAAATAATCGCTTAATTTGCAAGCCTCTTTTGGAAACGTTATGCAAGCTGGTATTAAATAGACATCCACAATTTTATGTGTACGTAACAATATTTTTTATGATGAAGAAAAAAATAGAATCTTTTTAGTATTATATATATACCTAGTATAATCATGTATTAATTAATATATTTGAACTAAAGTTATGGACGGTGGACTTTTAAAAAAAACAATTATTTCCCTAAGCAAATCAAAAGTTTAATTAGCAAATATTATATGTCTAAAGTTTCCTATGTTAACTTAGGTCAACTCATGCTTTAATTTGGCTCACGAATGCAATTTAAATATTGTTATAAATACTACTTAATTGCATAATCCAATGTATATAAATATTTAGAATATTTTAGGTCACAAAGCATATGTTTATATTTAATTAACCAAAATTAAAAGGATTGGTGGTATACATGACAGAAGGATGAATTGATTCTGAGTTGACTCAATTAAATATATAAAAGTTCAGAATTGTTTAATTAATCAATATTATAATTCTTTTTATAAGACCATTAGTGACACCATCATGTCTCTTTAATTATCATTATTCATTAAAGTATTTGTTTGTTTAGATTAAAGTATCTTTTTAGTGCCTTGACAATCCTATTATCCTAATTTTATTCTTAACTAATATACATAAATTAAAGGTATCACCAAAGTCAATAAATTGTTGACCGTCCAGTGTAAAGAATGCAACCTAAAATGATATTCCCTTTGTCCCAATTTACGTGTCACTTTTCGAATTTCGAGATTGTAACAAGTCTATCTTTGACCTTAAATTTTTCATACATCTTTTAAGTATTTTGAATTGTCAATTATTGTGACTTATAGTACTTTTTACGTAGTTTATAAATATATAAATTTAATTTTTTGAAGATTTTGTGCGTAAATTGCTGATCATACTTAAACTGTTTGACTCTCGAAAAACAAAAAAAGTATCACATAAATGGGAGAGAGAGAGTAATAATTATGGCTTAATTTTGAATAATATGATATCGATTATAAAAATTCTTAGTAATAATTATTCTTAAAAATTACAAACAGAGTAAATATTATTTAATAAAAAGAAACTATATCTTAGAATATAAGTAAATAAAATTTTAAAAAATAATTTTTTTTTAATAGAGATATAAAAAAGAAACCTAACAAAATAATTTAAGACGAAAAGAATATTTAAATAAAAAAAAATGTACTGAAAAATCGAGACCATAGGCTATGGAAAAGGAGCATAAGGTTCTGTGAATATCTTGGACTGTGATTCCCCACAGGCACTCAACACTAGAAAATGGATAAATAGTTCTGTTTATGTATTCGATAAAATTCAGTAATTTTAATGCATATTTTATATTTATGATAAAAAATATATATTTATATATATAGTTTAATAAAAAGTTACATATTTTTTAATTTATAAACTCAATATTTCCGTTTCGTTTTGCTAGTCCCACCTCAAGGAGAATCCAAAAAATCTGTAAATAATTCATGGAGTTACTTGTTTCCCTATATATATA